GGAATATACAACATTACATACAGGGGCAATGTCACAAATGTTAATTGAGGCACAATTTTGCTCCCATGTGGAATATGCATGTTTTTGAAATTCTGTTATATATGCTAAAAGAAGTGAATTCAAACACCCCCCACATCCAAGGAGATACAGGTCTTCAAAGTAAGTGGAGAGACTTGGATTCCATAAAAAGCTTTGGAACTCACGTTTCATCTGTAGCCCAGAATACAGAGGGAAGCAAACCAAGGCTCTTCAGAAACGCAGTGGCACAAGTAGCTGTCAGTTGCACAGTTAGAAGCTGTGGGGATTGATCAAATGAGAAATTTTGAGATGTTTTCTAGGTGGCTTCTTTGAGTAGTTTGAAATTTCCTAGTGCTTAATGTAATCTATGACGGCCTAGGAGAGTGTTCAAGACTTTTTGATCATGCACTCATAGGAGTAAAACTTCATGAGCATTCACCTCAGATTTATGTACATTTGTTTATATATTTTATATGTGTAGTACAGTATGTATTATGTATATATAAGGAACAGATACTTATTATTTGAAAATATACACCAAGAAAAAGATTGACATAATTGAAGACCAAATAAAAAATATTTTAAAAATTATTTCACTTTAGTATTGCTATAAACTCTTTTTCTCTTCTCATGAGGAATATTATTAATAATTATTTTTAGTGAGAGCAACATGATTGCATATGCTTCATTTTTGTTTTTTAATCTGGGCTTATCACTTTGTGACACAGTGATTCAAAGGTCTGGCTCTATGTTCAGTTTCGTTTGATACTTGTTTGAATGGCTTTCCCACTCTCACATCTGCAAACTTCTTTGGTGAAATTCAGCAGTAAATATCCAAATTCCCTGCTGTCAAAACTTGCAAACCAATCAAAGATTGTTCTGGTTTGATATGTTTAACAAATGGGTTCAAAATTCACAGAAGATCGTCCTTAGAAAGTTTTTAAAATCAATTAGAACATTATGCTTCCAAATTTTGCAAGTGTACCTGTATGAGAGTTTTTAAAGTTCACACTTATACAATTTTTGGCACGAAAATCTTTTGAAAAGCAGTTCTTTTCTCATCCACTTTTAAAATCTCACTTTCACCTTGAAGAAATATAAAAGTGTGTTTGGTTTTTTGACAGGAGCAGCTCTGTAGCATGCTATTGACAGACACTTCCAACAGAAAAAGGTGAGCAAATATGTATCACTTCCCTTTTAGTAAAAGAAAACTGTGGAGCTTTACTGCTGTTTAAATTCAGCTCTTTTAAGCTCACTCATGGAATCACAGAATCACAGAATGGTTTGGGAAGAAGGGGGCCTTGAAGACCATCCAGTTCTAACCCCCTGCCATAGGCAGGGACACCTTCCTGTAGACCAGGCAACTCAAAGCCCCATTCAGCGTGCAGCCTGAGCCTCTTGCCACAAGAGAACCAGCAAATGTCTGTGTGATATGTGTGGGGTTTACGGGCATGGTTTTGGCAGTAGGGAGGCTGCAGGGGTGGTTTGTGTGAGAAGAGACCAGAACGTGCCCCTGTGTCACACAGAACCAGTCCCAGTTACCCCCAAAAGGGACCCACCATTGGCCACGGCTCTGCCCAGCAGTGCTGCCGGTGACATCTGTGTGACAACTCATTTAAAGAAGGGTAAAGACCAGTGCACAGCAACTGTGAGTGAGAGGACAGAGAGAGAAATGTGAGGGAACAGTCTTGCAGACAGCCAGGTCAGTGAAGAAGGAAGGGGACAAGATGCTCTGGGCACCAGAGCAGACATTGCCATGCTTTCCCTGGAGAGGACCATGCTGATGTAGCCTGTGACCCTGCAGGCCCTAGCAGGGTCACACTGCAGCAGATATCCACACTGCAGCCTGAGCAGAGCCCCCTTGGCAGCAGGTGGTTGTGCCCTGAAGGAAGCTGCAGCCTGTGGAGATCCCACCATGGGGAAGGCTCGTGGCGGGAGCTGCAGCCTGTGGGGATCCCATGCTGAAGCATTTTGTCCCTGTTTTGTTCTTTCTTTCTCACTCCCCATGTCTGTTCTTGATTGGGAACCTCTTATTGATTGGAAATAAATTCAGTTATTTTGCCCAAGTTGAAGGGATCCCCAAAAGGCAAGGCAAAGACAGTGAGGGCACTGTCAGGCCTGCAGTCCACCTATGATGTGGGCAAGGACAGCAGATAAGCTCTGTGAGAACACTTAGGGACAGCCACAAGTCCAGGGATTGCCAGCCATATCCAGAGTGATAAGACATGCCCAGGATCAAGCCAGTAATTCCAATCTGCAGGCCAGGATCAGTATCCAAGTGAGCTAAGCAGGTGGAAAGGCCCAGGCAAAGGTGCAGCACAGCTCAAGGAGAGACCAAGGTTGACCATCAAGCTTAGAAGCAGCTCCTGAAAGTAGAGGGCTCCAAGCCCCACTGAGGCTTCACTCAGCAATCTGCTAAAAGGCCAGTCAGGTGGACTGTGGAAGCTGGCTCTGAAACAAGGCAGCCAAACCCCCAAAACAAGGCCTTACTTTCACCAGAATGTCCATTCATAGCTCTTAGTCTTTCCCTGTCCCCACATACACAAAAAAGCAGTACAGCCTGGCACACAGGTTTTGCTTTTTTAAAAATCCTGCTGTGATGGGTACTGAAAATTGACTCCATTGCATGTTGCCCTGGATGTCAATGTTGAAAATTCCAGGCATGCTTATAGGAATGCAAATCAGAGAAGGATCCTGTAGTGATCTCTCATGTAGATATTTGCATTTCTTGCCTTGAGCTAAAGACTCTAATCAGATTACTGGGTTATTTTCTTGGAAAAGACTGTGCTTTAAAAAAAATTGGGAATGGCTTTTTTCTTTCTTCCTCTGAATTACTCACTGGTGAGTTTTTTCATCATTAAATTCTGGAAATCTGGAAAGATGTTTTTAATAGGAAATGGTTTTGTTGGCCTCATAGTTTTATGTTGCATGTGAGCATCTTAGAAATTCTTGTGATGTTTACCTGGATCTTCAATGCAAAGAGCTACAGGACAAGGTGATTTGCATGATGTCTTTCAGCAATGTTAGAGCAAGATGAGCTTTGAATTTGGTTTGTTTCATGATTTGCTTCTCTGTACCAGACTTGAATCTAGCTGCCAGTGCAATTATGTGACATTGGTGTGTGTGGAAACAGTTCATATGTTTTGGAAGGTTCTGATTCCATGACTTCCAAACCTTCTTCAGGTTGCAAAATGGTAGGTTTAAGGTGGGGTGAACCAATCTGCCTTTTTATTACAAACAGAAGGGAAGAATGAGAAAAATGCCTACAGTCAGACATGATTCATGTCTTCAGAGGATCCGAATCCCAAGAAACATCACATTCCTACTAATACAGGAGTTGCTACTTTCTTTCCCAGAACAAATCCTTGTCAAAGTTATAATGTATGCAATAGAACACAGTGATTTAGTAGATGGTGTATATTATGCATATATGCATGTTGAAGATATTTTTATTCAAATGGCCCTAGTTGGTTAGCTGGTCACTTACAGAGAGAAAGGTCTTCCAGAAGACTGACCCTATGAGGTGCTTTCCAATATTTCTGTTGGCTTTCCATCTTAGATCTCTGAATTCATCTGAATGAATTGGAAACGATTTGATTTAATTTTATGGAAAGGAATCTTTGGAGGGAAGATGTACTTATAGAGGCAGGAAAACAGCACAAGAACTGCTTTTGAATCTCATGTGCATGAGGAATGTGGAATAAGGGAACATTAAACCAAATAGTATGAGAGCAGCTGTTCAGGGTGTCCCTGCTGAGCAGCCGTGTGCCTCCGAGCTCAGGCAGGAGCAGGACAGCACACACAGATTGTGGGTTGAGCACAGGCCACGTGTTTTGCCTGTTGGTGTGGTCAGAGAGCTCTGAGGTTTGTTCCTGCAGGCCGGTGAGGGGAGAGCAGGGAAGGGCAGAGGATGGACCAACCCTCCCAACACGGGTGTCTCATGGTGCTGGGCTGGAACCAGCATGGTGACAATGCACGGTGCTGACAGTGGCATGTCAGGCTGCCATTGCCATGGGCTCAACTTTCAGCATGTCTGTAAAATGGCATACGAAATGTTCATGGAAGCCAGTGCTGTCACCTGTGGTACAGTTTCTGTCATGAGGGAAAGGAAGACTCCATCTCAAGTTATTCTTTGACTTGGTATTTATTAATTTATAAAATAAAGCAATTCAGGCACAGACTCAGATCAGTTACGGGTTCATTGCTTCAAACAGATTGGCAGCATCCAAACCAGACACATTGAATCAGGATGGGCATAATCAATATAAGGCTCAGGTCAAGTATGTTTCAGTGACAATCATTTTAAAAGTAAATAAATTCCCAGTGCAGCTGGAAAGGATTCGGAAGCTCCAGTCCTAATGTACCAAGAATGTATTGAGACTTCTCCTATTACCTATGACCACAGGACTTTGGTGAGTCCTCCACTGCATCATTTCACTGGGAACACAGATACAGGTCACTACTTCAGCAAGAGCAAGGAAGCTCAAAAGGCTATGTCATTTCATACTGAACCTTACCGGAGTTTTAAAAACAGTTTTAGAGTCTTTAACTTTTTTTTCTACAATTCAGCAGTAGTGAAATATTATGAGTAAAATATTCTCATCTTATTGGGAATTCTTCAGCATCATCTTTAGGAGCTTGTATTAACCAGAAACAGCATTCAAGCATCATATTCCCAAACTAAATATGAGCATGCTTGTGATCAAGCAGGTCTGATCTGTTTGTATAATGAATTAGTAACTTTAAGCATTTCAAGAGAGATTACAGTCTGGTCTGAATCTTGGCCTTTTTTTTCTGCTGTCTTAGAGAAACTGTGATTTTCAAGGAAAGATGAGTAAATAGGAGACAATTTTCACATTCTTCTTAACTTCAGATTAGTGATCTAATCTACCCATTCCAGTTTCTATTACTTTATAACTCTTATGGTTTAAAATAAGTTTACTGACAACTCAACTAGACAGTCCAGGATAAATCATGATCTTTTACATGGATGTAATTCTGACAGAACTGTTGATGTGCTGCCAAATCCTAGCTGGCAGCTCTCGAAATTTTGGATTGCTCCAAATTAAGACTATGGAGTGTCCTGTAGGACAGGCAGCCATTACAGCTATACATATGGATTTTGGGGTGCTAAAATGTAAAAACAAATCGAATAAAAGAAAAGTGAAAGCTATGTAATATGTAACATAAAAGATAAGTAAGGAGCAGACTGACTTGATGGCTTTCATATGGGCCTCTAAGCTGGGATCCCTGAAACCACTTGCATTATTTTGCATCTGTCTGGTGTGTATCCACAGAGACCGAATCAGCAGAACACTTGAAACAACAGACAGTATTAAAGGCATAACTATACCAGCATTATAAAGAAGAATTAATAAACCAGAGCTGTCATTCCTTGTGGTTGTCCATGCTGAAGAGTTTGTCATGGATGAAGGAGCAGTGATGTTCTTGTGCACACTGTAGACATGCCAGGCGAAGGGAATTGCAATTGAGAAGGAGCAGAGCCATGATGTGAGCAGCATCCAGGGCACCAGCCTGGCAATTCTCAGCTTCAGCCAGATGAAGAAAGACTGTGTAAAACTGGCAACCTTGATGCAATAGAAGACACTAAGCCAGGCTCCAAACCAGAGACTAGAGCAGTTCAGAAACATATAGCCTGTCTTGATAAATACAAATATATTTTCTTCAAAATAGGAGAGTTCACAAAATATAGTTAAGAATAAATCCAGTATAATCCAGCATTGCAATGTAATTCTAGATGAACTCAGTGAGATCACAATCATATCATATGGGGGCCATGTTTTGCTCCCAATGCAGCTCAATGAACTGGCAGCCAAGATAATTCCATTTCCCAGAATTCCTGCCATGCATTCAATTATGGCAATTGACAGACAAAGGAGAGCAAAAGATGTCATCATTGCAACTGAAGAGCTTGTCATTATTACTCAGCTTCCTCTGGGCTCCTGAAAGCCTTAGATCTGGCAGGCACTCCAATCCCAAGGAGCTGTTGTGGGCAATGCTCACCTATTTATCTCAGGGGCAGAAGTATCCTAATGTCATTTAACACTTCTGCTGTTTTACCTCTGGTTTTAGGGGTTGGTAGCTCAGCTGATTTGTTTAAGCATGCAAATGGGGTCAAGATTCAATTACATACTTTTAATTTGCTGAAAGAATTTGCATTGGAAAGGTTTTGGAGCAGGTGAGCTGTGGTGTTTACAAGTGTGCGTTTCCACTCCAGTGTCTGGTGTACTTCTTTACATGTCTAGATTTGTATTTTATAGGTGATGCCTTAATGTCTCCCTTTGTTGCACTGTTATCTCTTCAGAGTTTCTGAGACATACTGGACATGACCTCTTCTCTTTATCAGATATTTTCAAATTTGTCCTGCAAAGAGGATTATTGTGTTTTTCTTTTGTGTTTGGAGATATTAAAGCATTATAATTTTTCAAGAGAACAGAGGGATTTCGTAGTTGGTGTATATAATATGTGTTGAAGATAGTTTTACTAGTATGAGAATAGTTAATTCGCTGGTCAGTCGCAGACAGAATGGTCTCCCAGAGGACTGACCCTATCAGGTGCTTTCCAATATTTCTGTTGGCTTTCCATCTTAGATTTCCAAACGTATGCTAAAGAACTGGTAACTACTTGATTTAATTTTATGGAAAGGAAGCTTTGGAGGGAAGATGTACTTATAGAGGCAGGAAAACAGCACAAGAAGTGCTTTTGAATCTCATGTGCATGAGGAATGTGGAATAAGAGAACATTAAACCAAGTTGTGTGAGAGCAGCTGTTCAGGGTGTCCCTGCTGAGCAGCCGTGTGCCTCCGAGCTCAGGCAGGAGCAGGACAGCACACACAGATTGTGGGTTGAGCACAGGCCACGTGTTTTGCCTGTTGGTGTGGTCAGAGAGCTCTGAGGTTTGTTCCTGCAGGCCGGTGAGGGGAGAGCAGGGAAGGGCAGAGGATGGACCAACCCTCCCAACACGGGTGTCTCATGGTGCTGGGCTGGAACCAGCATGGTGACAATGCACGGTGCTGACAGTGGCATGTCAGGCTGCCATTGCCATGGGCTCAACTTTCAGCATGTCTGTAAAATGGCATACAAAATGTTCATGGAAGCCAGTGCTATCACCTGGGGCCCAGTTTCTGTCATGAGGGAAAGGAAGACTCCATCTCAAGTATCCTTTTACTTGGTATTTATTAATTTGTAAAATAAAGCAATTCAGGCACAGACTCAGCTCAATTACAGGTTCATTGCTCCAAACAGATTGGCAGCATCCAAACCAGAAACATTGAACCAGGATGGGCATAGTGAACACAAAGCTCAAGTCATGTATGTTTCTGTGTCAATTACTTTACAAGTATGTAACATCGCCTTGCAGTTGGAAAAGGGTCATGAAGCTCCAGTTCTGATGTAACAATAATGCAGTGACACAGATCACTCTTTCAGCAAGAGGAGGAATCTCAAAAGGCCATGTCATTCTTTCCTAAACCATGCTGGGATGTTATAGACACCTTTAGAATCAGGAAATATTTTACTAGAGTTCAACCAGATTTTAAAACGATGAATGAGATATTCTGAAAATATCGGGAATTCCTCAGAATCCTCTTTAGAAGGTTTTAGTTACCAGAACCTGCATTGAAGCCTTATATTTGCAGAACGTGACCGTCTGTGCTTAAACATGTCTATTCTATTTGTATCAGGTATTGTAACCTCAAGCGTTCCAAGAGATTCCATTCTAGTCTGAGTCTTGGCCCTGTTTTTCTGCTGTCTTAGGGAAACTGTGGTGATTTCCAAGGAAAGTACAGCCGATAATAGACAACATACACAATGATTGTTAACAAGAGTGACATCCACATAAAGCAAATTCCCACCTTCCTATTGACTGCTGATCAAGGCCCTAATGTACTCATTCCAACATCTATTATTTATACCTCTGATGATTTCAATTTAATTGTTCTGGATCTAAACTAGAAAGTCCAGGTTAAGGCACTGTCTTTTACATGGATGCAGTTCTGACATGACAGTTAGTGTGGTGCCAAATCCTAGCTGGCAGCTCTTGAAATTTGGGATTGCTCCAAATTAAGACCAATGTGTGTGCTGTAGGGCAGGCAGCCATTAAAACAACACAGACTGAGTCTCCATTGCTTAAAGGTGAAAAAACGTTGAATACGATGATAAGAACAGAAATAAAATATATAACGTAAAGGAAAAGGAAGGAACAGACTGACTTGATGGCTTTCATATGGGCCTCTAAGCTGGGATCCCTGAAACCACTTGCATTATTTTGCATCCGTCTGGTGTGTATCCACAGAGACCGAATCAGCAGAACACTTGAAACAACAGACAATGTTAAAGGCAAAGCTGTACTTGCATTCCAGAGATAAATCAATAAAGTCAGTCTGTCATTCCTTGTGGTTGTCCATGCTGAAGAGTTTGTCATGGATGAAGGAGCAGTGATGTTCTTGTGCACACTGTAGACATCCCAGGCGAAGGGAATTGCAGTTGTGAAGGAGCAGAGCCATGATGTGAGCAGCATCCAGGGCACCAGCCTGGCAATTCTCAGCTTCAGCCAGATGAAGAAAGACTGTGTAAAACTGGCAACCTTGATGCAATAGAAGACACTAAGCCAGGCTCCAAACCAGAGGCTGGAGTAGTTCAGAAATGTAAACATTATTTTGGTAGCTGTTAGCAGGTTTTCTGTGTAAAAGAAGGGTTCATAAAATATATTCATTAGGAAATCCAGTGTAACCCATGACTGCAAAATGAATCTAGATGAACTCAGCGAGATCATGATCATATCATATGGGGGCCATGTTTTGCTCCCAATGCAGCTCAATGAACTGGCAGCCAAGATAATTCCATTTCCCAGAATTCCTGCCATGCATTCAATTATGGCAATTGACAGACAAAGGAGAGCAAAAGATGTCATCGTTGCAACTGAAGAGCTTGTCATTATTACTCAGCATCCTCTGGGCTCCTGAAAGCCTTAGATCTGGCAGGCACTCCAATCCCAAGGAGCTGTTATGGGCAATGCTCACCTATTTATCTCAGGGGCAGAAGTATCCTAATGTCATTTAATATTTCTGCTGTTTTACATCTTGTTTTCTGGGTTGGTAGCTCAGCTGCTCGTTCTAAGCATGCAAATGGGGTCAAGATTCAATTACATAGGTTTCATTTTTGTGGAAGGATATGCATTGGAAGGGTTATGGAGCAGGTGAACGATGGGGTTTACAAATGTGGGTTTCCACTCCAGTGTCTGGTGTACTTCTTTACATATCTGGATTTGCTTTTTTATCTAATGCCTTAATGTCTCCTTTGTTGCACTGTTATCTCTTCAGGGTTTCTGAGACATACTGGCCATGGCCTCTTTTGATAGTTGTGTTGGTCTTCTCTTTATCAGATATTTTCAAGTTAATGCTGCAAAGAGGATTACCATGGTTTTCTTTTGTCTATGGAAAATTTTAAGCATTCTAATTTTTCTTGCATGCTTCCTCTAAGTGACCCAATGGAGAATAATACATTTCTGTGGGAAGATCAGAACAGAGAAAATGAAAATAATTTTACAGAATTCCTTACTGGTACATTTTTCACCATCCTCCAGAATAGATGTGGAATTTTCCTAACGAATTTAAGATCTAGGAATATACAACATTACATACAGGGGCAATGTCACAAGTGTTAATTGAGGCACAATTTTGCTCCCATGTGGAATATGCATGTTTTTGAAATTCTGTTATATATGCTAAAAGAAGTGAATTCAAACACCCCCCACATCCAAGGAGATACAGGTCTTCAAAGTAAGTGGAGCGACTTGGATTCCATAAAAAGCTTTGGAACTCACGTTTCATCTGTAGCCCAGAATACAGAAGGAAGCAAACCAAGGCTCTTCAGAAACGCAGTGGCACAAGTAGCTGTCAGTTGCACAGTTAGAAGCTGTGGGGAGTGATCAAATGAGAAATTTTGAGATGTTTTCTAGGTGGCTTCTTTGAGTAGTTTGAAATTTCCTAGTGCTTAATGTAATCTATGACGGCCTAGGAGAGTGTTCAAGACTTTTTGATCATGCACTCATAGGAGTAAAACTTCATGAGCATTCACCTCAGATTTATGTACATTTGTTTATATATTTTATATGTGTAGTACAGTATGTATTATGTATATATAAGGAACAGATACTTATTATTTGAAAATATACACCAAGAAAAAGATTGACATAATTGAAGACCAAATAAAAAATATTTTAAAGATTATTTCACTTTAGTATTGCTACAAACTCTTTTTCTCTTCTCATGAGGAATATTATTAATAATTATTTTTAGTGAGAGCAACATGATTGCATATGCTTCATTTTTGTTTTTTAATCTGGGCTTATCACTTTGTGACACAGTGATTCAGAGACCTTGCTCTATGTTCAGTTTCGTTTGATACTTGTTTGAATGGCTTTCCCACTCTCACATCTGCAAACTTCTTTGGTGAAATTCAGCAGTAAATATCCAAATTCCCTGCTGTCAAAACTTGCAAACCAATCAAAGATTGTTCTGGTTTGATATGTTTAACAAATGGGTTCAAAATTCACAGAAGATCGTCCTTAGAAAGTTTTTAAAATCAATTAGAACATTATGCTTCCAAATTTTGCAAGTGTACCTGTATGAGAGTTTTTAAAGTTGTCACACTTCTACAATTTTTGGCACGAAAATCTTTTGAAAAGCAGTTCCTTTCTCATCCACTTTTAAAATCTCACTTTCACCTTGAAGAAATATAAAAGTGTGTTTGGTTTTTTGACAGGAGCAGCTCTGTAGCATGCTATTGACAGACACTTCCAACAGAAAAAGGTGAGCAAATATGTATCACTTCCCTTTTTGTAAAAGAAAACTGTGGAGCTTTACTGCTGTTTAAATTCAGCTCTTTTAAGCTCACTCATGGAATCACAGAATCACAGAATGATTTGGGTAGAAGGGGGCCTTGAAGACCATCCAGTTCTAACCCCCTGCCATAGGCAGGGACACCTTCCTGTAGACCAGGCAACTCAAAGCCCCATTCAGCGTGGAGCCTGAGCCTCTTGCCACAAGAGAACCAGCAAATGTCTGTGTGATATGTGTGGGGTTTACGGGCATGGTTTTGGCAGTGGGGAGGCTGCAGGGGTGGTTTGTGTGAGAAGAGACCAGAACGTGCCCCTGTGTCACACAGAACCAGTCCCAGTTACCCCCAAAAGGGACCCACCATTGGCCACGGCTCTGCCCAGCAGTGCTGCCGGTGACATCTGTGTGACAACTCATTTAAAGAAGGGTAAAGACCAGTGCACAGCAACTGTGAGTGAGAGGACAGAGAGAGAAATGTGAGGGGAACAGTCTTGCAGACAGCCAGGTCAGTGAAGAAGGAAGGGGACAAGATGCTCTGGGCACCAGAGCAGACCTTGCCATGCTTTCCCTGGAGAGGACCATGCTGATGTAGCCTGTGACCCTGCAGGCCCTAGCAGGGTCACACTGCAGCAGATATCCACACTGCAGCCTGAGCAGAGCCCCCTTGGCAGCAGGTGGTTGTGCCCTGAAGGAAGCTGCAGCCTGTGGAGATCCCACCATGGGGAAGGCTCGTGGCGGGAGCTGCAGCCTGTGGGGATCCCATGCTGAAGCATTTTGTCCCTGTTTTGTTCTTTCTTTCTCACTCCCCATGTCTGTTCTTGATTGGGAACCTCTTATTGATTGGAAATAAATTCAGTTATTTTGCCCAAGTTGAAGGGATCCCCAGAAGGCAAGGCAAAGACAGTGAGGGCACTGTCAGGCCTGCAGTCCACCTATGATGTGGGCAAGGACAGCAGATAAGCTCTGTGAGAACACTTAGGGACAGCCACAAGTCCAGGGATTGCCAGCCATATCCAGAGTGATAAGACATGCCCAGGATCAAGCCAGTAATTCCAATCTGCAGGCCAGGATCAGTATCCAAGTGAGCTAAGCCGGTGGAAAGGCCCAGGCAAAGGTGCAGCACAGCTCAAGGAGAGACCAAGGTTGACCATCAAGCTTAGAAGCAGCTCCTGAAAGTAGAGGGCTCCAAGCCCCACTGAGGCTTCACTCAGCAATCTGCTAAAAGGCCAGTCAGGTGGACTGTGGAAGCTGGCTCTGAAACAAGGCAGCCAAACCCCCAAAACAAGGCCTTACTTTCACCAGAATGTCCATTCATAGCTCTTTGTCTTTCCCTGTCCCCACATACACAAAAAAGCAGTACAGCCTGGCACACAGGTTTTGCTTTTTTAAAAATCCTGCTGTGATGGGTACTGAAAATTGACTCCATTGCATGTTGCCCTGAATGTCAATGTTGAAAATTCCAGGCATGCTTATAGGAATGCAAATCAGAGAAGGATCCTGTAGTGATCTCTCATGTAGATATTTGCATTTCTTGCCTTGAGCTAAAGACTCTAATCAGATTGCTGCTTATTTTCTTGGAAAAGACTGTGCTTTAGAAAATAAATGTGTTCTTCTGTCTTTCTCTGATTTTCTTACTGATAATTATTTTCATCATTATATTACAGAAACCCAGAAGATTGCCTTTAACAAAAAAGGGCTTTGTTTCCAACGCTGGCCATTGTTTTATGTTACATGTGAGCAGTTCCCTAGAAAATTTAGTGAGTTTTTTTTTTCTGGATGCTCAACGAAAGAGGTACAGGACAAGATGATTTGCATGATGTCCTTCTGACAATGTTAGAGCAGGATGAACATTGAATTTGGTTTGTTTTCTGATTTGATTCGCTGTACCAGACTTGAATCGAGCTGCAAGAGGGTCCAAGTATCATTGGTGGGTATGCAAATCTTTCATATGTTTTGGAAGGGTCTGAATCCATGACTTTTAAATTTTTTCAGGTTGATATATGGTTAGTTAAGACGTGGGAATCAAACCAGTTTCCATCTTATGGAAAAACATCACACTGTGAGGGTTATACAGAATCAAGAGGAGTTTGATATTAATCCACTGCACCACTTGTTTACCTCTTATTTGCTTAAGAGGAAAGGAGGCAGTTCTAGCCACAGGAAAAGAAACACTATTCAGTCCTAAGAGCCTCTGCAGTATTATTAGGCAGTACACTAATTTATAAATTGCTTTACATGATCAAGCAGGCATACAACAAAAAAGACAAAAATGTCTACTTTCAAACAAGATGTGTGATATCAGAGAATCCCATCTGCTGTGAGTCTCATCTTCTTACCTGGACAGAGGCTGTTACTTTTGTTTCCCAAAACAGGTTTTTATCAAATTTATTTATTAACTTATCCAGTAGAACACAGGGATTAAGTAGATGGTGTATATAATGCATGTTAAAAATATTTTTGTTCATATGATAATAATTAGTTAGGTGTCCCATTACAGAAAGGAACATCTAGCAGGAGATTGGCCCTATGAGGTGCCTTCCAATATCTTTGTTATTGTTCCCTCTTAGATCCCCAAATTCATGTCAGTGAACTGGTAACTATTTGATTTAATTTTATGGAAAGGAAGCTTTGGAGGGAAGATGTACTTATAGAGGCAGGAAAATAGCACATGCTTTTGAATCTTGTGTGCCTGAGGAATGTGGAACAAGGGTAAAACCAAGTTGTGTGAGAGCAGCTGTTCAGGGTGTCCCTGCTGAGCAGCCGTGTGCCTCCGAGCTCAGGCAGGAGCAGGACAGCACACACAGATTGTGGGTTGAGCACAGGCCACGTGTTTTGCCTGTTGGTGTGGTCAGAGAGCTCTGAGGTTTGTTCCTGCAGGCCGGTGAGGGGAGAGCAGGGAAGGGCAGAGGATGGACCAACCCTCCCAACACGGGTGTCTCATGGTGCTGGGCTGGAACCAGCATGGTGACAATGCATGGTGCTGACAGTGGCATGTCAGGGTGCCACTGCCATGGGCTCAATTTCTACCATCCCTGTAAAATGGCATACAAAATGTTCATGGAAGCCAGTGCTATCACCTGGGGCCCAGTTTCTGTCATGAGGGAAAGGAAGACTCCATCTCAATTTATCCTTGGACTTGGTATTTTTTAATTTGTAAAATAAAGCAATTCAGGCATAGACTCAGCTCAATTACAAGTACATTGCTTCAAACAGATTGACAGTATCCAAACCAGACAAATTGAATCAGGATGGGCATAGTGAACACAAAGCTCAAGTCATGTATGTTTCAGTGACAGTCCCCTTAAAAGTGAATATAGTCCCCCTGTAGCTGAAAAGGGTCATGAAGCTCCAGTTCTGATGTAACAATAATGCAGTGACAACAATCATTACTTCAGGAAGAGCAGAAGATCAAAAGGCTGTTTTGTTCTTTCCTGAATCATACTGGAATCTGAGTCTTGACCTTGGTTTTCTCTTGTTCCAGAGAAACCATGGCAATTTCCAAGGAAAGTGTAGCAAATAGGAGACAACTTATACAATTTTTCAAAACAAGACTCACATCCAACTAAAGCAAATTTGCCCTCTTCATGATTCCAGATCAAGGCCCTAATCTTTTAATTCCAGTGCCTAGTATTTTATATTTCTGACAACTTCATTTTAATTGATTTGGATCTAAACTAGAAAGTCAAGGTTAAATCATGATCTTTTATATGGATATAGTTCTGACAGGACAGTTAGTGTGGTCCCAAATCCTAGCTGGCAGCTCTTGAAATTTGGGATTGCTCCAAATTAAGACCAATGTGTGTCCTGTAGGACAGGCAGCCAATATAACTATACACATGGATTCCTCATCGCTTAAAGGTGAAAAAACTCTGGAGTAGAGGAGAAGCAAGCAAAAAAAATATATAATGTAGAAGATAAAGAAGGAACAGACTGACTTGATGGCTTTCATATGGGCCTCTAAGCTGGGATCCTTGAAACCACTTGCATTATTTTGCATCCGTCTGGTGTGTATCCACAGAGACCGAATCAGCAGAACACTTGAAACAACAGACAATGATAAAGGCAAAGTTGTACTTGCATTCCAGAGATAAATCAACAAAGTCAGTCTGTCATTCCTTGTGGTTGTCCATGATGAAGAGTTTGTCATGGATGAAGGAGCAGTGATGTTCTTGTGCACACTGTAGACATCCCAGGCAAAGGGAATTGCAATTGTGAAGGAGCAGAGCCATGATGTGAGCAGCATCCAGGGCACCAGCCTGGCAATTCTCAGCTTCAGCCAGATGAAGAAAGACTGTGTAAAACTGGCAACCTTGATGCAATAGAAGACACTAAGCCAGGCTCCAAACCAGAGGCTGGAGTAGTTCAGAAAGGTAAAAATTGTCGTGGAAGCTACGTTCACATTTTCTGTATAAATGAAAGGTTCATAAAATATATTCATTAGTAAATCCAGTGTAACCCATGACTGCAAAATGAATCTAGATGAACTCAGCGAGATCATGATCATATCATATGGGGGCCATGTTTTGCTCCCAATGCAGCTCAATGAACTGGCAGCCAAGATAATTCCATTTCCCAGAATTCCTGCCATGCATTCAATTATGGCAATTGACAGACAAAGGAGAGCAAAAGATGTCATCGTTGCAACTGAAGAGCTTGTCATTATTACTCAGCTTCTCCTGGGCTCCTGAAAGCCTTAGATCTGGCAGGCACTCCAATCCCAAGGAGCTGTTGTGGGCAATGCTCACCTATTTATCTCAGGGGCAGAAGTATCCTAATGTCATTTAATATTTCTGCTGTTTTACATCTTGTTTTCTGGGTTGATGTCTCAGCTGCTTGGTCTAAGCATGCAAATGGGGTCAAGATTCAATTACATAGGTTTCATTTTTGTGGAAGGATTTGCATTGTAAAGTTATGGAGCAGCTCAGCTGGGGTTTCTAGAACTGTGGATTTGCACTAATCTATCCAATGTCCTGCTTTACATGCTTAGATTTGGTTTTTTAAAAATATCTTAGACCTTAATCTCTCCCTGTCTTGCACTGTCATGTCTTCTTTGTTTATGAGAGTAATCTCTGTGGCCTCTTCTAATACTGAAGCAAGTCCTTATCAGATGTATTCAAATATCTGCTAATAGGCTTGGTGGGCATTTGACAGCCAATCAAGGTCAACCCCTCACAGGTATAAAGGATTTTCATCATCTCTCCCCTGTCATTGCACAGTATTGTAAAGGTTCTAATATTTCAAGTTCTTGTTTTTGTGAAGTAAACCAAACTGTTGACATCCTGTAGCACCTTTTGCAGGTCTGGCTCCAGTTTCTTTGCTGTAATAACTCATCTATGAACATTGCAGTGAATGAATTCCAGGTGTAGTGATGACTACATAACCCTACCACCCAATCCTTCTCTTATGCCAATCAAAGCAGCTGTTCCACTGGTCTTTACACTTGCACAGCTCTTCCAGAAAATATTTTTATTAAATAAATAATTTACTGTGGAGAATACAACTTCTGTGGTAAATCTTCCCTTCAGTGGCTTACAGAAGGTAGCTCTTCATTTATTTCACTACTGAAACAGAATTTGTCAAATACCTTAATCTGAGGCATTTTAGAAACATTTATACTTTCATCCACTCAGGAATCCTCTTCCACTATGTAATTTGTGCTGATACTTGTCTCTTCAAGCCTTCAGCAGTATTTTCTATGTGTCTTCTGACAGTGTTTGCTGACAACAGAATCCATTTTAGTTTGCTGCTCTATTGCTTTTGGTGTATTTTCTCTATAGCTTTCTGTGTATTATCCCAGCCATTTTTACTTTTTATGGCAGGAAGAATAAGTGTTTATCTGGTCCTATGTGACATTTTTTCTTTTGCTGTGAAGCAAGAAACTTCAAAGGAGGCTTCTCTACACATTTGTCATTAAGTTTGGTGAAATTTTGTAAATACTGAATTATGGCCTGAAACATGACTGAAAAGATTGTAGGGGTTTGTCTTTGTGCTCTGGATGCTTAGGTTTTAAATATCTTGCTAATTCTGATGGCTTCATAGTGACATTAGCTAAATTTTCAAAGCATTCTCAAAGTAAAATTTTCAAGTACTTCCTGGCCATGTGATCTGCATGGCCAGCTGTGTGCTTGAATAGTCTTACTGTATGTGCTTGTGTGTGTTTCTATGGACCACAGGATGATACCATCATAGAATGGTTTGGATTGGAAGGGACCTTACAGATCATCTAGTTCCAACCTCCCCACCACAGGCAGGGATACCTGCCCAAGGAGTATTTGCTCAGTCTCACTCCCTAGCTTGACTTCAAGAAAACAGAGCTGCAGCACCCACACATCATCAGGATAACAGATTCATCCACTTGTAGCAGTACAGCCCATACATGACAGAATCTAATTAAGTAGAATAGCAAGTATAGATATAAACAAATAGCATAAATACAGTCTCTGCTGGAGATGTTTCAATAGGATAGGTTAAACATTTAATGAAATTATGTAACATTGGAACAATGTCTGTTTGTAGTTAATTACATACTACAGTACCCTCCTAATTTTGTAAAATTAGAGAATTTGATACAGTTTGCAGTCAGCAAACTGCTTACAGAAATAATTCTAAATTTAGAGTTATTACTAAATTGCAATTCATCTCATATGCAACAAACTACAGAACTTGCAGTTGTTTCATGCAACTTTATATTATCCTGGTAACCCACACCAGGGAATGACCTTTGTTTCCATGGCTAAGAGACCCAGGGTGACTCATGTACCTCTACTCACTGCAGACCTCAAAAGCCAAGCCAAGCCAAGCCAAGCCAAGCCAAGCCAAGCCAAGCCTACCCCATCTGGCAATGGTCTGACAATCTAAGTGACATTGTTGCCATTCCAGGTGCTGGATTTGATTCTGCTGCTGTATTCTCAATTATGCTCATCCTCAAGAATTATCTAGAAAGTACTGGAGCAATCTTTTTCTCCAGGAAGGGTCAAAGGAAGCTGCTGATGGGTAGATAATTCCTTCACCCTGTGAAAAATGACCATCCAGTTCCTGGGATCATATTGTGCTGTGCACTATGGTGGAACAGCAGGAAGTGACACATTTTGACCTGAAAAGGGTCAGTTTAAGGTTCTATGTAGTGATCTCATGCCTGTCACTGTCACTATATCACATTCTGGTCACCAGCACCTAAGAAGAAGGTGCTCCATTGCATTTTGCAGCCTTACTCCCTTGATACTGGTGGTCAGGCACCCAGTCTGAGTTCATGGCGCAGATGAAGACAAAGGTCTCTCAGGCTGTCTTCCAGAATGTCCCCCCAGGAATCAAAATCAACATCAGCTGTGTGCTGGCTGAACCTGAACACCCCATCCTCATGGAGTCAACTAACAAAGTACGTATATATCCCCATACACAGTTTATAGAAAGGCTACTATAGAAGCCTAGTAGTCAACTATTTCAAAAGCTGCTCAACACCATGTAAGCCCACAAGGGAGAATTATGGTTGAAGCATGGATTACGATGGTCATGTCAAGGAGCAGCAGGAGGAGCTGTTCCATAAAGAAATGAGATCCAAAAAGGCAGCATCACCACAAGGCAGGCAAGGACAGGACTGTCAAGCATGCAGTGTCACCTCCTATAAGCAAGGATAGCTGAGAAGCTCTGTGATGGGTCTGCCAACTGTCCAGTCATACCAGATGTGTCCATAGTGATACAGCACATCCAAGATCAAGCCAGTAATTCCAGTTTGTAGACCAGGATCAGTATCCAGGTCAGCTAGGCAGGTGGAAAGACTCAGGCAAAGCTGCAGCACAACTCAGTCAGAGAGCAAGGGTGAGCACCCAGCTTAGAAGCAGCTCCCAAAATGAGAGGAGGCTGAGCCCTCCCGAGGCATCTTCCAGCAATCTGTTTTAAGGTCAGTCAGCTGTGCTGTGGAAGTTGGCTCTGAAACTCAGCAGCCAAAACTCCAAAAGAAGTGTAGAGCCCCTAGCTATACTCACCATAGCAGTACCTGGGAACTTTATAAATGAGTCCATCCCAGTCCCGCCTTTTTATCGTCTGGTGGTAAAATTAATTATATCAGCAGTATTCAACACAAGTAGATTCCAAGGGCTTGACAAAGAAATCAGAATTAACTACCACAGTAGATGGGGAGCTTAGTACATAAAATAGTTCAGTAAATGTCTAGAGAATAAGTATACAGTGTACAGCATTCTAATCTGGTTTAACCAGAAGCACAGCCAGTAGATTAAGTGATTCTCTTCCTTAACAGTTTTTTAAGTTGGTATCTGGAATATTGTATCCAGTATTTGGGGGGACTTTTATTTTTCTGGTGATTGGACACTACTGAATTTACACACAACACCAGGCTTAGGCTGACCACAAAGTTCTGGAAGACAGATTCAGAATTCAAAATCATTTTGGCAAGCTGGAGATGCAATCTGATAAAATAGGGACAAATGCCTACAGAGATGAATAAACACATGCATATATAAATTTGCGAAGAAAGCAGTAATAAAAATAGATGCCATATTGGGAGATACAACCAAAAATTTTTGTTGCATAAATTAAGGCATTGTACTCTTGTATGTGGCTCTAATAAAGTTGTATTTCAGAACTATAAAAATTGGAAACAACAGCCTTTTTTAGTTTAGAAAGAAGAAATCTGCAAAAGGCTAAAAAACATGAAAAAATAACTCTGAAGATATAGGAATAAACTCTTAAAGTGCATTGTGAAGAGGGCAAGGAGTGGCTGGTTTCATAATTACAAAGCCAGATCCTTTTTACAATTAGTCTTAAAATTTAGATGGAGAAAAAACACATATATTTTCATTACAAACTTTTTAAAAGAGTTTGAACAAGAAGATTCTGGAGAGTCACAGGGGAAGCCGATCCTGCCTTGGATAAGAGAAGTGAATGAAAACAAAACTTACTCATCTAACTATATAGAAATCTACTAAAAATACATTTCTTTCCATTTCATCAGTCTGGGAGAAAATCTCTCCCAACTAATTTGACTGTTTGGTGAACTAAAGTGTTTGGTACTTAATAATACCTCATAGTGACACAGGAAATTATTTAGTTCAATTCAAAATATGCCACGTTGCTGGCCAAATGCAAACAATTCCACTTTACAGATGCAATGGCAAATTGCCTGATGACTAAAAACCACATATTACAACAGAATCAAAGATACAGAATGGAACTTGAAATCCCAGAATTCTAAGTTTAAGCCTTAACTTCTGAAGCACACGACAATAACTGGAGATACTGAGGAAGATGGAAAGGCTAAGAAGAGGAGACATAAAATGAAACTGTGATGGAAATACAGAAGAAAGAAATTTAGTGTTCTGCTCAGAAGAGATGAGGTAATTTTTTTTTAATTTTTTTTTATTTCACAAGCATTACTTTGTGATATTGCCAAGCATATGAAGAGCTTTAGTATCTAAATTGGATCTAAACCACAAATGAGGACAGCAGATTTAGGGGCTGAACCAAAGAGAAGTTTTGTGACTGATGACACTTCACTGTCTGGTCCACAGAATGTAACTAATGGTGGATATGATGGATGTGCTTCTAGCAAAAAAATACTTAAAAACAATATCTTGCTGATTCCTTCTAAAGTGTTGTGAATGACCATGAAGTTCATATAGTTTTAAATTTAGCTGTAAATGCTGTGCTTCCATATAGTTTCTTGTTGCAGCATTACAATTAAATTACACATTTGGAGACATAAATCTGAGTTGTCGTCAAGTGGCTATTTCATTGTAACATCCATGATTCAAGTGATTTTGCAGCAGAAGAACATTATCTACATGGGAAATATAAATAATTCTGCTTGATAGACCCATAATCTCTGAAATTCAAGGCTATTTTCACATCACACATTGGCACACATAATTTAGGTTATAAGGCTTTGTTCTATTTTGTTGTCACTAAGCATAGCAATTAACCTGAGTTTTCCATAAGTAGGTACAACTCCACATCTCACACAAGGTTGTCTTTCATCTGAATAACATCTGTAGGGCTAATACAGTAAAGCACAGGACATAACTTTTATGCTGTGAAATTCACAGCTTTTGATTATGTTGCATATGAAAGGGTATTTTTGTTATGGTCATTTTTCAGAATCAGAACAGTTTTACAGGAAATATCCCTTTAAATCAGCCTGTAAGCAATTGTAAAAAACAGAGCAGATAGCAAGCACTTTAAAGAGCTATGGAAAATGGTTTTCTAGGACGTATTTTGGAAGGTGGTGCACTGTGAAGAAGCAAGAACAGAGTTGATACATGCTCAATTGTAAGAGAAGCCCCCTGGCAGTCTGCTGGACTCAGATATTTCATTTGCCTTAGCATGCCTCCTCAGTACAAGGCCCTGTGGCTGCTTATTCAGGGATTAGGCTTTTATTCTTTTTTGCTCTCCTTGATGTTAAATAAATGCTTCAGAGGCTAGGACTTGCTTTTCTGAATGGAAAACCATGCCTCATGGTTGTTTCGGAATGGTTTCACAGGGAATGTCTGAATGCATAAAGAGATACACAACTGCAAAAATATTTTTTTAATATCAGGTTTACCCTGTTGCAGAGAAAAAAAAAATCAAGTTCTCACTAGTACAGTAACTACAAAAAACTCACAAAATCTTTAACAATAGCCTGAGGTGAGATTCTAATTATGCTATTTATTCTTAGAGGTTGTGCCCAATGAATCAACAAATGAGATATTAAAGTAACACAGAAAATAATAGAAGGCATTCATGTACGATAGGGTTATGATCAAGGAAACTCATGTACATTCATGTAGGACAGAGAAAAACAAGCTCTTTTTTAGTTTCAGTTTTAGTGGGTTTTGTCATTCTTATTTTCACTGCTTCTCCTGCCTTTCTTGCCTAATCTTCTCTACCCTCTTACCCCTCATTCTCAGACTTTCCTTTCCTAGTACCTGAAATCAACTCCTTTTCTTTCCTGTCATCAAGGGTACCCTTCCTGTCTATCTTCCAGTTCACATAGCTTGTATCCATTCTATCCACCTGGATCCCAGGTTTGAGTATAGTCTTCCTTATGGGTGGACTGATGAATCTTCAATTCAAAGGAGTCACAGAGGTCAGGCTACTCCTCTTTTTTTCCCCCTTGTCTTTAACAAATTTATCCAGGTAAATGAATTGCCACACATTGAGCTAATCTGTGGTTACAAACTTTGGTCTCTCCCCTTCTTCCTTCCTCCTCTGAACCTAAAGTCTGGTGGCTGTGGTTAGAAGTAACAATGACTTTTCTGTCCTTTTTTTCCTGAATAAAGATGTCCCAGAAAGCTTGAAGGACAGATTGCCCAGGGAAGTGGGGGATGTCCCCTCATTAGAAGTATTCAAGGCCTGGACAGAGATAAAGCAGCCTGACCATGGTGGGTTGGTTGAACTGGATGATTTTTAAAAGGTGCCTTCTAACCAAGGCATTCTCTGAGTCTTTGAGTTTGTATACTGATGGACTGATGCTAGATGAGAGAGAAAGTTTTTGGTGGATGAAAGGGTGAAGAGTTCCCATCTGCATGTGTGATTTGAGAGTGTCTGAGAGCACTTTTGTCTCAGAAGGGATCTCTCTCTGTCACCTGCAGGGCAGTTAGAACACTCTGCTAGATCCCTGACTGACAGCTCCAATTATGGGTTGTTTAAATTGAATTTATCCTGTCATCAGTCCTCCAATCTACAACGGAATATTATGGCTCTCAGGCTATCCTGCCTCCAGTTTTCTGAACTTCTTTAGTGAAGGAACAAGTGCTACAGTGTTCTGATGTCCTCAGACCAAATTTGTGCTTTTGATGGTTGCCAAAATTATTACTAACCTTTAGCAGAGAGTCTTTCATATCAAGGAGATTTTCTTCCATGTTGTTTTAATCCTCAAGTCACACTGCTCAGTAGTAGCATCACCAGGGACCATTTGAGGTAGAAGAGCTTGAGTTAAACAAGTATTTTTTTAAACCTAAGTGCAGTCTCTTTGCAAGTGGTAGCCTTTTCACAAGAGTTTTCAAGATGGCCAGTGTCATTAATATTGCCTCACCATGTTTTTCTAATGCTCTTTTTAAAAGGGCAATCTTTCGTGCAGTCTGTGATACACATATATTTCGGAAGGTTGAAGATGGAATATCAATCCATCCAGCAGAACTTCAGTCTACCAAACTGTTGCAGTGGAATTTACTATTCACATGATGTAAAAGATCAAAGTCCCAATTCAATTTCACTTCAGGACAGATATTAGAAAAATAATTTGCTGAAGTCTGCTTTTGATTCCAAACCATTTGAAATACTAACCATTTAAAATTACCATAAGAAATACTTGCAACAACATCTGTCAAATGCACGCCAACACACTAATATGTCCATATTTCTTTGAATCATATGTTTATTTAATTCTAAGAGGCATCTAAAAGATAATTGCTGTTAAGCATTTTTATGTGTAACAGCTGGAAGGCATGCTGAACACTATATTTTTTCCAGTGTGCTGATCAGTTAGATTTGGAAGAAGCTAATGCACTGTGTAGAGGAGAGAAAGTGTCTGTCCCAGAGAAAAAAGCCAGAGGTTCTCTTACTAATTTGTGGACTCAAGGGAGCAGAGCTGTCATATGTGCCTTAAAGATAAGAAGGGAATGAGTTGATAAGGATTACTTGTGACGTCTTCTCCCTCCCTGCCCTCCCTCCCTCCCCCAAGCCCCTCTTCCTGCTTCTGTAATTAGAAAAAATTTTCAGGGAAACTTTTTGTCTTTGCTTTCTGTAGGTAATAAAAGTGTCTTCAAAGAAACCTACATGCTAGCAGGAAAAACAACAGCACCATTTTCATGTATACATGAATACTTCAGCTCTCAAGATGCCCAAAGCTCTACAGGTTATATATTCAAAACCCCATCAGAGTATTTACAACACCATCATGCAATCCTCTCCAAGGCAGAGCTTTTTCAAGGCTTAAATATATACATACAGACTGTCATTTTCAGACAGAAAGTGCTACTGTCCTGTGGCACACAATCTGAAAGAAACTTCCATATCCAATTGGTGATGTGGAAAATGTAAGACATGCTTCACTACCTTATTGCTACCAGATGCAAATATGCTCTGTCTTTACCCTGACAGATGCAAGAAACTCTCCTTGAAAACATACCTAACTACAGTGTCTGAATTACTTTGCAACAGCTAATAACAACAGTGAAACAGATTTTTCTGAAGCGTGGATCATATAACTTCAGATAAAATATGTCTTATACCTGTGTATCTAGACCATAGTCAGAGAGGCAGAATCTATGTGAAATAAATCCAAATTTTTCCTATGAGATACACAAATTTTGGAATAGATGAAAGTTTTAACAACTTAATTCTTTCCATAACAGCTCAACTTTGCTACTGAATTACTGAGCAAATTCAAAACCCAATGTCCACTACAGCAGAATACTACTCCGGAGCATACTTTTCCAGAACAGTAGGGAGAATCCAAAAATAATGTCTGTTAGATCCAACATATGATATTACTATGGTATGTATTGCCTTCAGAGAAGAAATATCACCACCACACTAGATCTTGCAAGGCAGCTTTCTTAGCATCACAGCACCATTGAAACATGTACTAATTCAAGGAGCTGTGCTCTTCATTAAGAAAGAGAGGGTTTCTCAGGTTTCCTTTCCTGAAACATCCCATGCACTCTTGAAATGAAGTTGTGATCCATCTACTGTCAAGGATGTGTCCTGATTAGTTTACAAGTCTGGTAAAAATCATCCTTCCATACACATTCAAAGCATTTCTAGCTAGCATGTGTGTGAGACAATCCATGTGTTGTGGCAATATCAATGTAATGTTTTGCCAAATTATGTGGTAAAATCTCATGTAATCAAGCGGAAATGAGAATACCTGTTTAATAGCTATGGTATATGAAACCACGTTAATGTCAATCATATCCTCCCAGCATATTGACCAAAGGCTTTTTTTCTCTTCTCAAGTGTCATTTTAAAAATGAATACTTCAGCCAAGGTTTTATTACTTGCTTTAGTTTTAATTACATTGTGTTCAAAATCATCATAACCATTTTACAATCAAAAAAGGCAATAAATTCCTTGCCCAGGTAAATTTTAAAACTTAAATTGTGTTCATTGAGAAAAGAGAAGTAAAATTTTCTTCATTACATAGAACTTGGCAGCTGTTAGATGCTGTAATTATGAATGTGGAAGAGTTCAGATACAGTTAAGATAGATAAATAAACTAAATATTGTCATGAACAAATTTGTCCAGATAGTTTACAAAGATCTCTTTACTGTGAGATAAAAATAGTGGCTAACAAAAGACTGTTTTGTTGCTTTCATTAAGTCAAATCTCAATCAATTTATGTGAGAAGTATTTGCAAAATGGATTCTGATGTTAAGGTGAAGTGACACACTGCAAGGAAAGAAAGGTCAGCAGGGACCTTTTTGTCAGTATGCAAGGACTTTCTTACTGTATTTAGAGCTGTTTTGTAAATATAGAAATATATAGCTACCAGTAACCTAGATGCTAAAAAGAACTGGGAGTAAGTATCGGGTTTCAGCCACATAAGAAATCTGTTGTGATAGTAAAGTGTTAAATTATGCAAGCACCACAGAAATAGTGAAAAATCAGGTTAATAGGAGCTCTGAACAACTGAACAGATATCAAATTATCTTCAGAGTAGTGAACCAAGATATCATATTCTCCTCAGAGACTTGCAGCCTGGGGAGGCAAACAGTCCCATCCTGGTATTCTGCTTGTTTCAAGCACTTTGGAAGCTGACACCAAGCTGGTCCCCACTACCTCTCAGCTCACAGCTGCCAATTGGGAAGGTCTCAAATCCCAATGTCTCACTCTCCTTACTCAGTTTTTAATGTCTCAGAGAAGTAATCTGGGTTCCCAGTCCTCAAAGCAGAGAAACCTCCCTCCCAAATCTTCCCAATACTTCTCCTTAAATAAGCAAAGACACATAGGCTGGCCATCTTCCAAGAAGCAATGAACAACTGTAAATAGAATCAGTAATTAATGATTTCCTTTTTTTATGCCTCTTAATGGGAACGAGAAAAAGTCAGATGTGTTCGCACCTTGAATGGACACTAGGGTGCAGATGAGAGAGCGAGAGCAAGAAGCAAGTCAGCACCTTGGCTTTTCCTCATGGGAGGAGGAGCACTAGGATCCCTAGCCCACACTATCTAGCAATAGGCAGAAGCCTGCGGGCCCCAAGGCAACAGCAGGTTGAAACAGGCCAGTGGCAAGGAGAATATCAGACCAAAACAGGCTTGTTGGGTGGGCAGGATAGTGAGGCTGCTGGAGAGAAAAGAAACAGCGAATAGCTGAGAAGAGGCTGAGGGAGATAGAGAATCACATACTTCTGTTCAAAAAGATTTCGGTGGAGCTCCAAGAGACAGAAAGGCAGGTGGGTCACAGAGACACAGAAGGGGAAAAAAAAAATTCCTTTTATGAGAAGTAGAGGTGTTAAGAAGGTGGGTGGAGAGTTGCAGAAACACCATTTCCCTCCCTCCCTCCCATTTTCTCTAAGGGTGTTTGTCTCTGAGCTTTTCCTCTCACTTCTCCTCCCCACAGCAAACAGCCAAGCTGGGAAGAAGAGATTGTCTCTGAACTCAGCAGAGTGTGTAGGCACAGAAGACTGATAGCAACCAAGTAAACAGAGTTCACAACTGTGGTAGCCAAAGGAGCAAAGCCTGCTGGGGTGACAAGCATGAGCACTGTTCCACAGGTAAGGAAATGGGTCTGTCTTGTAATCTGCTGAGGGACCTTCATTGTACACCTCTCTTTTCCTTCCCCTTTCATAGCTACACTGCTTATTGCCTTGGGGGACCGAGGTAGTTGAGGTTTTCACAGTTTGTATCCAGAAAGGTCTTGTCCGGGTCTCAGAATTAATGATATGGGATATGGGGTGATGATTTAGGGGTTCTTGCCCTTCCTGTTAGTCACCCTAATGGCCGTTCTGAGAACTCTTTTGAAGTACTGACCAACAAGTAATAATAGTAATAGTAAAACTATTAGTAGTAATAATAATGATAACAACAACAATAATAAAAATTATAATGACATATTTTATTCTATCTCCATTTTTTTCAGCAAGGTTTTATAAGAAAGTACTTACACAGAAATGTGCAGTTTCTCCCCTACAAATAGTTGTGGATAAGCAAGGCATAGTTTTTGGAATGTGAGAATGACATGGTGAGCCTAATTGCTTCCCATGTAGTGTGGTGTCCTTTTTCTGCTTTGATGTCTTATATAAATAGCTAGCAAAGTCTTAATTGCATATTTACAGACAAATTGCATTGAACTGAACTGTTAGCTCAAGGTTGCTAAAAAAGTACAAAGCATTCAAGGGCAACAGAGATAACTGTTCTATGTTACTAAATAATACAAACACTGAAATGTGCATGTGTTCTTACATTGAGATCTGTTCAGTGTGACTGTGGCTGTAATGCAAACAGTCACTTATATTTATCTTGTCTGCATTTTTATAGTTGAAGAATTTGCAGAAACCTTTGTTTTGTATATCCATTCCCAAATTTCTGTGTGATGAAGATCAAACCATAATCATAATTTTAGTTATTGGCCATGGTTTTGCTTTACAATTTTAGTACTCCAGAATACAATTCAGCAACCTTTTTGTTTCATATTTCATGTGAGCAGGTACTCTATTTCAAACACAGGCTAAAATATTTCTCAAATGACATTTAATGGGCTCAATTTGTGTGCTTAAATAATTTGCTGACAAAAGATAAATTTAAGAAAATGAAGGTTTTTGTGATATTGGGGTATTAGTCTGAAAATATGCCATCCATGTGAGTAATGTGATAAACAAGATTTGGGTAACAGCCAAAGTCAGTAATTCATGAATAATCTACTGGCTGAAAAACAATACTGCTACATTATCTAGTAAACAGTTATGAAAAATAACTTCAGTTCTCTCTTCCTTTAAACTCTTTTTAAAAATTTACTTTATTTTCATGAAAGTTAGATGCTTATCTTTCTGTAATAGCACTAAACACTGTGAAAATGCTAGGTGAGAAAGATTTTGGCAAAGTAACTTCAACCTTCCTTCAGGATTCAGGAACAGCTCACAAACAGAAAGAAGGAGATGCTCAAGGAAAATCAAATTCTTTGGCTGATTTAGTTGTATCAAACAGTTCTTGCTTTAGTGATAACAGTACTTGTCATGCTATCCCAAGTCATTCTTATGTTTGAGTCAGATGATACATATAGTACATTAATTTAAAGTCATAAATTTTTATAATTTACAGCTATTAGAATTCATAATTTAATGATTTTACGGCCATTTGTTCTCACTTAGATCTAGTGAAGACATTTAAATTTGAGCATTTGCACATGCTTAAAAACATGAAAGAACTGAAACTGTAGTGGAAATTGCATTCATCTTTATGCTAATACTGATTATTCTTCTCACCCATAAGTGAGGCCTATAAGGAAAAACCCTGTCAGAGGTTGAAGTCTTTTTATCCTTTTCCACTGGCTTGTTCAAACCATTCACTTGTATCTTTATATGGAGCATGCTGGATGAAGCAACCAGGTCTCAAAACTTACCACAATAAAGTGGTGCTG